ACACCTTATATGGCTAAGGTGTCTAAAAAATATAACCTCGCTAATGTTTTAGCAATCCACTCATTTACTCGTTTATTTGTATTGGCACTCGCACAGACGAAACGTTATTATAGTATGGCTATCCATCGAATGACGCCATTACCATCATAATGGATGAATATATGATATATGGCCTCAAAAGTGAGTAGAGCTGCCTCCGTAATCAAACTAATGCAATTTCTTCGGCACATGCCGAGCAGGGCTGCTCTCTACAGCCACTGAGGTCTCGCCGGTGATTTGTTTGATTGGCGTCCAAAGGTCAGGTGATTCATGTGAGTGAATCATACCTGCCACCTAAAACTCCCAATGGAACAATGAAAAGACTACCAGCTACCATGTTTCAAGAGCCACCTCTGTGCCTGCTTTCAGAATCTGACAGCTGGACCGACACAATCTCTTCTACTTTTTCCATCGAGTCTGTACTCTCGAAGAGGTTAGGTATACAAAATTGTATCACCATGTCTTCTCGAGTGTCGGTATTCAGGTTGGTTGTCCGAAAGCTCCTTGCGGGAAAGGAAGAGGTGATTGTTCTGAGGTGAGGTGACATTCTGACTGGAAGAGGTGATGTGGTGCTCCTGTGATTTTCGTTCGGTATGGTTTTCGTTCGTAGTTTTGGGGAATGTCACGGCTTTTAGAGATTAGAGGATAAATGACCATTTTTTAGTAGGCAGATGCTTCCAGTTTCTTACCAATTACTTTTTTCGTCATTCAATGTAGACTGTAGAGGATTTATGACCACGTTTTACTAAGCAAGTAATTCCAGTTTCTTACCAATTACTTTCTGCATCATTCATTGCCCACATACGGTTCCAAGCTGAAGTTTTGGGGCATATTCCCTTCTGCATCGTCCAAAATTGACAACTTTTTTACATGCAAAGGAATGATTTCTTTCCTGCTTTTCTTGGTGTTTCTTTTTGAATAAAGTTTGGATAGATTGACTTGAGTTGAAGGCTGTTGATACTAAGTATAGGAAGAGCCAGCATGTTATTCCACCTGTAAAGTTGTGTATGGCGATGTAGCAAACTGTTTAAGTTAACAGAAATTGGATGCAAGGGACAACAATTGAAAATTGAGCGCTGCGCATTTGAAAGCTAAAAGAGAGCTTTCAAATGCGCACTACGCTTGTTCACTGCGTAAACAAGCGCAGTGAACACTGCTAAAAGCTGTAGAATAGGGTCTAGGAAAGTTGATGAAAGAGTTTATAGGCATTATTGTTTGGACTTGAATGAAGTTCAAAATTCGAGAAAAAATATTAAACTTACTCTTTCAATATCGCATATTAATAGTGACTTATCGTGACACTGAACAGTTAAACGCAAAGCTGGGATTGCTGTAGGCACTCTGTTTAATATCCCTCCTCAGTGCGCGCTCAAATGTAGCCTGTGACTCTGGCCATTCTGGGTCGAGCCGACAGACAAAACATTTCGGGGGCGTACCCATGAGACGGTCGACCCGTCCCTCAGCTGTAGTGTTCCCCAACTGGGTCCCGCTGATGGCTGCGGTTGTTGTCTGAGAGCTGACAATGGCCCGTGCAGCTTACTGTATGGTACAGTCCGACCAGCCGGCTGACCTACTGATGTCCAGTCGTCTGTTGTGTCTGCAAGCCCGGCCCGGGTACATGGCATGTATGTTCTGAGAGCTAAATTGTGCATGTCAGGCTACAGGATTGTCAGTCGTACTTTCTGGGTCATCTGACAGACGTATGCCCCCTCTTTCTCTGTTTCTGTGTGTCTGTGTGTCTGTCTGTCTGTCTGTCTGTCTGTCTGTCTGTCTGTCTGTCTGTCTGTCTGTCTGTCTGTCTGTCTGTCTGTCTGTCTGTCTGTGTGTCTGTCTGTCTGTCTGTCTGTCTGTCTGTCTGTCTGTCTGTCTGTCTGTCTGTCTGTCTGTCTGTCTGTCTGTCTGTCTCTTTCTCTCTCTCTCTCTCTCTCTCTCTCTCTCTCTCTCTCTCTCTCTCTCTCTCTCTCTCTCTCTCTCTCTCTCTCTCTCTCTCTCTCTCTCTCTCTCTCTTTTGTTCTCTGTCTCTGTTTTCTTTTCAGTTCCTTTCCTCTCTGCCCTTACTTCTTTCTTTGTCATTCAGTTGTGTCTTAGTCCTTAATTTCTGGCTTTCTTTCTCTTTTCTCATTCCATCTATTTCTTACTGCATTGGTATTGCTCTTGCTTTCCGTCTATCCGTCTCTATTTTTCTTCTCTCCCAGTTTATCTCCCCTTTTTATTTGCTCATTCTCTCTGCTTTTCGTTGTCTTTTATTTTTCAGCTATCTGCATATGGGTGAATTACTGCATGGGCTCTTACATTGCCTAAGAGGCATTTCATCCTGAATGTGGTTTTAGAGAAATGCAAAAGTTTATGCGCCAGCATTACAATTAAATGTACATTTATTGACCGTTTTGTTGTGCAATTTCTTCCTTTCTTTGTTTGTCTGCATCAATAGCGCACACTGCAAAGCATATCTGCACACATCGTTTAGGAGATAACAAAAACAATATACTCCCTCAGTAACGCAATGCATTCAGCCCACTTCATCCCGAATACATAATTCCTTCATTTCTGTCTGTACTGTGGCGTAGTAAGGCACCTGCCTCGCTGGCGAAAATGTGTGTCATTTTTATAATATAACAATGAATCTCTGCACCCAATAGTGCAATACCCAGTGCACAGCAGCATGCTCTCTCTCGATACTAGATATGACCCTTCGTCATCAATGCGTTAATCTCATTCTTCGAATGTTACACTTTTGAATTGCATTTTACACGTTAAGCTCTAGCTAATTAATCATTCTCATTCTCAGCCATTCTTCCTTATGCTCATATGATGACAAGGTTTTCCACAAAACATGTTTGAAATGGGCCTCTAATGCCATTATTGGCCAGGCTTCAAAATGAATCGTTCACAGAGCTCACCTCAATTACCAAGCTCCTCTCAACCTTGACATGGCCTGTGTGTGCCCTAGATCCAGTTGCCCTAGAGACATGACCGGGCTGTAACCTGTAGCTGTTTGTTACATTCACTGCCTGCTGTTTTTACTTTGGCTCTGTCTGCTCTCTGGTATATGTAGCTGCCTCTGGTCAGACATGTGCGTGGATCCGAGAAAATGGATCTGGGATCTGAACCCACGTATCTTGATCTCGGATCCGTCGGGATCATAGATCCAGTTCTTGAATTTATCGAGAGATCCGTAGGGATCATAGATCCGAGTTTCATATTTTGCTTGAGATTCATGGAGATCATAGATCCTCTTTTTTGTCAGCACAGAAATCCCCCAAAAATCACTCGTTGCAGCTCAAGAGCGTTCTTGTTTATGTTGATTTATGTGATAGCACATCATAAGCCATAGTTTTATGGCACTTATTTTATGTCATAGGTGGATCCAGAAAGACAGTCTCGGATGCTGCGACAGGTATACTCCTTAACAGTTTCTGCAAATTAAAAAAAAACTCGAATTTAGATACCTTACGCACTGCTGTATTGTTTAAAGCAATTTTTCCGAAAAAACTGCAGTTTTCATTATATTCTAGAAAAAACACAAACTTTCATCGATTTCGGGTGCTGCGAAGGGGCATTTGCCTTGCAAGTGCCCCTTGGAGCCTCCAGTGTTGTCTGAAATTGGGTTCTGCTTCTGTCTACTCGTACTGACTGTAATTGAGCTCTAGTTCTATCTAAAGACTGCACTTGGGCTATATGGTCTGTTTGTTGTCTGAAGTTGGTGGTAGTCTATGGTTCTGCGTGTCTGTATTTGGTCTATGGTCCTGTTCGTTGTCTGAGGTCAATAGTTATGTTCCAATCCTCACTGTTATCTGTAGTTGGGTTTTGGTGCTGTCGTTCCGTATTTACGGTCAGCCCAATCTTGTATCCCTTATATGGCTTCCAGATCCTCCTTTCTCTCTCTCTTTCTCTCTTTGTCCTCCCATCTGTCTTTCTTTCTTTCATTCATTCTCTCTTAGTTTCCGTCTCCCTCTCTCTCCCTCTCTCTCTCTCGCTCTCTCTCTCTGTCCTCTCTCTCTCTCTCTCTCTCTCTCTCTCTCTCTCTCTCTCTCTCTCTCTCTCTCTCTCTCTCTCTCTCTCTCTCTCTCTCTCTCTCTCATATCTGGTTCGCCGCTGTCGTATGCCATCCCTTTTTATGACTTTTTGCGCGCATACCATGTTACCACTGAGGCTTAACAGTTCACGGCTTTTATTTTTAGCTGAGGCCTTTGGATAAACCATTTGAGTCTTGAAGGACTTAATTTAGGTCTTTCTCAGCTTTATTTAAGTATAAAATGTATGTAGAATCTTGAAGATTCGAATAGAATATTCAATATCTCTATATCTACCTATATTTCAGTTTCAATTATTCTTTGGTGATAGAGTGTAGGTAGGTACCCGTTCCCTGGCGGCTGGCAACGGTCTCTGATTTCAGCCCGAATACCAAATTTATCAGAATCAGAAGCATACCTTGACCGTGCTGGTTCCGTCAATATCTGCCTAACGGACAAAGCCACTAAATTGGCGGCATATTTGCAGCCTGTAATAGAACTCAGATTATACGTTAGCAGAATGCCAACCGGCCGTTAATTCGTCGAATGTTCTGTTGTCTGACCGTGCCGATCTGGTTGCCTCGCCTAGCATGAGCGCATTGGCGCCTGGTGACGTCATATAGCTCTGGACGCCATGTTTGACAGCTCGGGCCAGCCGTCTGGGCCGCGCCGGCGTCGGGCGGTTCGGGCGGCGGCGGCGGCGGCGGCGGCGGGCGTGCCGCTCTCGGCTGGCGGGTCCGCCGCCGCCGCGCCGCCCGAGCGCAGATCCCGGAACCGCGCCGCGTATGCCGCAGCGCGGCGAATCGCGGCGCGGCTCCACTCCCGGATCCGCCGGCGCCGGCGCTGACCCGGAAGCGGCAGGCCCCGCCCCTACCCTGCGCGCTCCGCCCAATGAGAGCCGGCCGCCGGCGGCGCGCGGCTCGGTTTGAATTTTCCCGCCCCTTGCAGGGTGCGCTGCAACTGTCTGCCGCCGACGGCCGCCGCCGCTGGTGCGCCACCTCTGTCGAAGAGCCGACCGGCCGACCGGAGCAGCGGCGAACGGCGACCTGGAGACCGAGTGCTCGCGACGAATGTGAGTTCACGCTCAGTGTTCAACAGTGCAGTGTTAAAGTGGTTCGGGTATTTGTGATGACTGCAAACAGAAGTGGAGCTTGACCAGGTAGGTCCCCTCGGGTGATTGCCGACACCCGGGGCGGTATTTTCTATCTGAGGACAGTCTGTCGAGGCCTTGGAATCGTTACGCGGGTTTGCCCACTTGAAGTTTGTTTTCTGATTCGACACCGGCGGTGCCGTGGTGTGGTTGGCTGGCCAGACGTCTGCGCTGCTATCACCCTGTGATGTCACAGTTTGCCGATGAGTAACGGACGCCTCTCTACAATATGGCGGCCGGCGCTCGCAGACGGCCATCTTGTATCGACAGATTTTTGGCGGACAAGCGAAGTAAAGGATATCAGTGTAAAGTGACACATCGGTTGCTCTTATGGCATATTGGTTGTTATGAAAGGAGCTGGAAACACAGAAATTCCAATCCTAGTGGAAGCATTATTTTCTTCAGAAGCGACGTTGTGACTATTTTCAGAAGCAATCATCTCAAGTCATATATCAATCTGAATTGAGATTAGGGTAACTGTGGGGAAAACGCACCCCTGGGTTAAACGCCTCCCCTAAAAAAATCGTATTTCTTATCGACGGATAGGTGTTTTATCCTATCTTTCAGAACAGTCAGCTGCTTGTTTACGTAGGTCTCTATTTCCGGTTCTGCGTCTTAAGGAGCAGCGTGGGTAGGTGCTGATGTTGGTTTTGGGTGTTGTTTTTGTTGTTTTTACAGAAGATTCCTAAGATTTTGATGCCCTCTTTATATCACAAAATTTGCTATTGTGCACGTCACTAAAAACTGCGTTTTATTGCCATTCTGTTGAATTTATTATGCTACGGCGTTAGTGACGCGTTTTTTGTCAATATTGTGTTGACCGGAAAGGGAGTGGATGGGGAAAGACGCCTACTCGATGCATGGGGCAAGACGCCCCCAGTTTTCTGAAAGGGGGGCGTTTTGCACGGTGGTGAGAGTGCAGGGTAGCGCCCTGTAGGTGGGTGCCGAAAAGGCCTCTCCCCGTCATTTTTTGCTGATATATCCTAAACGACTGCAGATATCGTCACCAAACTTTCAGGACTACTCCGGGCATCCATTTTACACATTGCAACAAAATTTTATTCCAAAGGCTATGATAGGTTGATCACAAATGACTTCAGAATGACGTCAAGTTCTGCCATGTTCATCATTTTCTATTGCTGGATGGGGTGGGGGCGCTTTGCACATGGGTGTGGGCGTATTACCCAGGGTGTGGGGCAAAACGCCCTTTTGTAAGGGTATGCGAAAACCTTTTTGGGGGGGTTAAATACCACACGCAGGTGTCTTTTCTTGGTCTCAAAGCGTAGTAAAAAGAATGAGCTACATGATGGTGCCCAAAGGTTTGAGTAATCTGTGTTGGGTTGAGTGTCAGAAGGTTTCGCGCTTAATGGGGGCGTTTTTGACCTATTCACCCTAATGATTTAAGAGTATTGCTACGCAAGGTTTAGGTACTCAGGTGCACGTAAACCTGGCTAAAAACGTTTTTGACCCTCCTTTTGCTCTACGATTATTGGGTGATGTCTAACCGGACAAGAACAGCCAGAGTTTGTTTCGTACCTACTACAGCTGACTTATGTATTCGTCTGATTAAATTAATCGGAGATCTGCTCCTTGCAGATCTGGATCTCAGATTCAATGAGATCATAGATGCTTCATCGGTCGAGAGATCATAAGTTGATCCCCGTTTGTGTAAGAGTTACAGAGCAATATGCTAGGGTAGCCTGGGGCAAGACGCCCCAGATAATTTGTTTTGCTACATAAATTTTGTCCCACATCACCTGGAAGGCCAAATTTGTGCTCAATGCGTTCTTTGGACATTTTACTTTAAATTGCACCCCTCAAATTCATTCACTTATGATCGGACTCCAAGCTAGGAAGTGATTTGTGAAGCAACTGCAAATGGGGTATTTTGCCCCAACCCCAGGGCAAAACGCCCCACGGCCTGGGGCAAGTAGCCCCATACTTTAGATTAAAGATTTAACATGGTAGTTGGCTAAATCTTATGCGAGAGGTCCGTTAGACCTCTGGAGGCACGGCACTGAAGTTACCACATTCCATCCTGTCCGGTGTTAAGCTATGACACTATTGTATGAGCAGGTTTTTCACCTACCTCATAAGACCAAATAATAAATTATTGCAATGCGAATGTTAACAAAATACTTCCTTTGCCATCCAGTTGCTGAGAAAAATACACATAAAGGCATAGAAACTTACTGTTCTCCAGCTACCGAACATTAGAAAGTGGGTAGCCCGAACAATACATGAGGTAAAACGCCCCAGGGGCTTTTTGCCCCGCGACCTACTGGGGCGTTTACCCCATCACGTAGTTCGGTCAGAGAACAACGCCTTGCACTCCAGCAAGACATAATTTAACCCTCGCCGGACCTATTGGTTTTCTACATACGCGCCGGCCGAGGGGGGGGGGGGGCGGGGCGGGTACGACCCCCCCCCTCGCCGTTTCGCCCCTGGTGGAGCTAGCGCGTCGCGGAAAAAACGAGCGTGTGCGCCGTTACGAGACGCAGAGATTGGTACCCGATTTTAAGGTCCTAGGTCAACCGGTGACCTCTGAGGTCAGGTCAAGTGCCCCAGGGTACGGTTCAGTTTTTGGTGAATAACTTCGCAAAAAACGGCCGCAGAGCCGCGATTTTGGCAGCATCGTGTTCGCCTCGCTCAGGCGCGTCGAATGATATACTTTTTGTCCGGGTCAGGTCAACTTGGGGTGTTGACCTCAGGTCAAGGTCAGGTCAGCACCCCCAGGTCACGAAGTTGGTCGAAAGAGGTCATGTCGCATATCATTCGATTCGGCAGGCCTTCCTGAGTCAATTGGTGCCTTTCCCGACTCGCTAGCTCAATTTGATCAAGAGTTATTGACGAAAAACTAATTTGACCTTGATGACGTCATAAATGACGTCACGCAAGGTCAACATTGCAAAAATGACGCATCTAACCTTGCAAGGAGTGCATCAAATCACGATTCTGTGTGCTTGAGATAGTTGGAGATCGTTCCCGGCGCCAGAATAGCAGTTTGAATTTTTCCCCATTGGCTTATAATGGTGAGGCCACGAAAATGACCTGACCTCATATGACCTTTAGGAAAAATCCGAGATATACAAGTTGTGGGACTCATAATGGATACTAGATCCTGCAAGTTTCATTTCCCTGTGACATCTCCTCTGGCAGTGAGGGCGTTGCGAAGTTGCGACATCTGAAGACCGTGCAGAGGTTCACTTATGACGTCATAAGTCAGTGACCTGACCTGACCCAAAAATGCGGTTGGTGTCAAAAGATCCGGCTTGGATCAAAGGTCAGGTATGCCAAGTTTCAGCTCTCTATCGCCAGCGTGTTCGGAGCTATCGCGAAAAAACCCTATGGGGGGGCGGCACCCGCCCCCCCTCGGCCGGCGAGGGTTAACACGAACCAACCCGGCATGATAAGCGTTAGACAATAGTTGTTCAAAATACATAAATGTCGTTAACCTGATGTGGACCATAAAAGAACGCCATGATACATAATCTGACAACAAAACATAAAAATCACTCCAAAAACACATTTTTGGCTATATCTCCCGAAAGAGTCATCACAATTTCTTTCCAGTCTGCTCATATAATGATCATATAGTGCACGTTTTATAGAAGAGATGATGTTTCCCCAGAACTCTGCCAGCTCCGAGAAACATCGGTGAGGCGTTTTACCTCGGCGGGGCGACTTGCCCCGGTCTACCCTATATTTTTGTATTCCAGAGCCATACGTCTCGGCTCTCGCAATTTGCAATTGTTCTTTTTCAGGGATCCAAGGTAACTGCGGTTAACAATACGCGGTTTTGTGACACTATTCAACCTGAAATTGCTCGGGATCATGATCATGATCACACAGGTTGCGTCTTGTGGGATCGCACAGCGATTATATCATTTCCTTTGTCGCCAGATCATATGTGATCATGGGTGCATTAGGTACATATTTTTCATATTTGATTCAATAGTAGTACGGAGTGGAGTCTTACTGAACGTCTGCTTTGGGACTTACTAAGATCACTGATCCAACATTTGGATCCATTCATAGTATGCCTGTCTCCTAACAGTGACGCAATGGACCATTCCCATATACTTGCTTTCCGACGTCAATTGCTAAAATACGTGCATGCTCGTGTTAACCATTAGTAAAACGCAAACAATCTCTTAATATTGCTTCATCGTACATTCTTCAATAGCGAGTGAATCTGATCCACTTTGATAAGCATACCTATTACTTACATTTGCATGGACTCTAATATGGCATATTTGCATTTATGGCTGAATATTGTAATGTTACATGCTTGTGTGCATTTGCCATTATATAGTGTACGGGAAAGCTCATCTATATTCCACTTAAATAAAATATTGCTATTATTTTGAATAAAAAAAAAATGTTTTGTCTGGCTCAAGCTTCATTACTACGTCCTGAACTACACGCTTTTATTATGTTGAATGATTTGACTATAAAAGCACGAAGCATGGAGAAAAGCATGAAACATGTCTGCATTCTTGCTGGGCTTTATTTTCATTTGTTAATTACAGTTCAAGTGCTCAGACTCTGTCTCGCTGCTGAATGCGTGACACTTATTCTATTTCTTTTTGTTTTGACAATAACTCAAAGAGTACCTACATGTTGACGGTCACCTGGTCCACCCGAAGACGCGTGAGGCACCACACCCAAAGTCTTGCACATCTTCTTCAACATTTTCCATTTTGTTTTGCGGTAATGGAATAGACGTTTGTGTTCGTCCAAAAAGTAACCTTATGATGTTTGAGTGATGTACCTATAGACAATTAGATATATATATATATATATATATATATTGAATAGAGAAAACATACAGCACATGGGTGGACGCGTTTCGTCAGACTTTTTCAACACCCGAATATCGACAAAATGTTCATATTGCTTTGTCGATATTCGGGTGTTGAAAAAGTCTCTGACGAAACGCGTCCACCCATGTGCTGTATGTTTTTTCCACTCAACTTATGATATTTGTTGCCACACTGGGTGGATAATTTGTTTAAAGGAAACAGTTCACTTTCCTGAAATTAGTATTTTGCTATGGATTTACGATTTTTTATGCTCAAAATGATCAGAAAATAAAATAAAACCTTTTTGTAAAAACAATTATTTTCTATACCTATTTTAATATAGGACGAACTATATTCTATGTAAAATAATGTTTGACGCGGAAGCTTATTACGCGTTGACCAATCATATTGCGTAGTTCAAACCTACGCATGCTGCATTAGCTGTAAGCAGCATGCTGATTGGCTGACGATGACGTGGCTGCATTCCTGTGCAAGGCACACATTCCTCTGCAAGGCACTCTTTTCGGAACGAGAAATGGAATATCTTCGTCTAGGGTGATCGTTGAGCCGTAAAAGCTCCTGATTTGTGCTAGTCTCAGCTCAAGCTACGAAACTGCTATTCCAGTTCAAAATCCCATGTTAAAAGTGAACTATTTCCTTTAAGTGTAGATCCAATCGTACCTAAGTGTGGAGCATGACGCGTCTCTGTGTCATGCTTTCCCATCGACGCACATCAAGGCTTTCGGCTTGGATCTATTCTCAGTTTGTCGAAAAAATAATACCTATCGCGCAGGGAGACTAGAGCTGCGTCGTGCCCCTTGAGACGGGTCAATTTTAGGAAAGTTTGGCGCGGGGAGAGCAGTTACATTGTTAAAAGTGTCAGAGAATCTTGGACCCGAGCGGGATCAGAAATGCTAGCAAACTCCCGCCAGTCGCCACAACACTTCCCGTCGCTACTTACGTGTCTCCTCTCGTCGCGTCCCATTGCAACTACCAATTTATAACTTGCACTGTCTCGCCTCGACTGCAAGGCGTCACAACATGTCGTAGAAAACTCTTTTCGCTTCTCTACCTCACGGGCCGATTTAGATGAATGGCGCCAACCATTATTTTCATAGGACTTTGCATTGATTTGTTCTGGTTTGCGTTGGTCTTGAAAAGTAAGACTTTTGTGCTTCGATGAAGGTGTTTGGATGTCGTATTGGTCGTCAGTTCCTAAAACTTGGCACTATACAAAACTGCTCAATCTTTTCAATGGAATGTTGGGACCATCTGCCATGGAAGTCGTTCTTAGATAACGTTGATAAATGATATCCTGAGCTTTTGTTTAAATGTATTGCAGAAAAGCAAAGTTAGCCGTCCAAGGGGTCTCGTGAATTATTCACTGGCTGGGATATTGCAGAGCTCCACTTGTCCCTATATGTGTGGCATCTGTTTCAGTTGTTTCTGTGTGCTCGAAACTCTGATGCCAGAACATGATTTCCAGCACCAGAATCGAAGCAGCATTCGCCATACGCCATATTTTATGTGACTTTTTTTACTTCTCGGGCTCTAGTAACTCGGCTGCCAGGGAACAGCTACCAATAAGTAAATGCACAGATGCGTATGCTCAAAGATGCCTAACAAGGGCATCCACAAATCATTTTTCAGCGCTATTCATTTACATACTTCTTCAGGTAGTCACCAATAAGTAACCAATACAAAATCATCATGTCTGCGCTAACTGCATTAGTGCATCGTTCACTGATTAGTGATAAGTGTTTGCGCATGTCTACATGTGTCTATATGTGTCGCACGTGACGCATCAAATTTAATTCAAAACATGTTTTCTTTTTTTCAATGCCTAAACCCAATAAACTGCGCCACTGAATGTCTCTGAAGGTTGTTTGATTGTCCGTCAATTCAGTCTGCGTATTGGCAGCAATACCCGTCCATAGATGGCGCTAGTTGTAAACGCCTGCAGGTAGGCTGTGCCGCAT